TCTATACCTCTTAGCCTATTTATTATAGATTATCTATACAGCTTCTAGGTAGTATTAAATTAATACTACTAATAATTCTACTACTATTAGATTAGTATTATTTATAAAGTCTATAATAATAAGTTCTTTCTATTATTCTAGTAGCTTATAGAGTATACTAATATAAATTAAAAAGAGAATAGAAAAGAAAGAGAAGCTTTATAGTATTTCTATATAAATTATAAATATAGTAGATTTTTTATTATTAAAGTAAAGTTATATTATTCTTCTTATAAGGTAGCTATAGATTTATTCTACTAACTAGAAATTAATTTCTATCTATCTGAGTATATAGAGTAGTTAAGTAAAATTTACTATATTAAAAGCACTTAAGATATCTAGTTATAGAATTATAATAATATTAAAGTAATTTTATATTATTTTAATAGCTTTAGTTATAAGTTAGATAGCTATTTTAATTAATCTCTTAATATAGTTTTCTATCTAGCCTTTTAGTAGGAGTTTTAGAGCTTTTGCTATAATAATAAGATATTTCTTAATAGCTGCCTTAATAATTTTCCCAGTTATATATACAAGTAAAATAGGCCTATAGACTTTAATATAGCTTTTTTCTTTTTAAGTTTTATCTACTTTTTTAAATACTACTACTATTATACTATAGTATTACTATAGAAAGTATTCTAGCTTTATACTAATATAGGTTATTCTAGCTATTATCTTATTAAATACCTTACTACAGGCCTTAAAAAGGCCTGTAGAAATATTATTATTACCTAAGGCCTTTTATAATTTTATTTTTACTAAAATATCTACTATTTTCTTATTATTATATTTTTAGGCCCTAGAGTTATCTTAAGTAAATAGAAAAGAGATAGTAGCCCCCTTAGAGATATTACTAAAGTTAACCTCTAAATTTAAAAAGAAATATTCTACTAGAATTCTAGCTTTCTTACTATAGTTATCTATAAGTTTATCTTTCTTTCTTTTTTATAAGAGTGGAATCTATAAGCTATTTTTAAAGAGGCTACTATAGAGTTTTACCTATCTTTCTATTTTCTAGAATATCTTAGGGTTATTACTAGCTTTCTAGAGGAATAGCCTTTATTATTTTCTATATAATTTATTTATAATTTTATTCTAAAGATATTAAATAAAAAGAAGGTTCTTCTACTTAATAATACTCTTATATTATTAGTAATATCTTCTAGCTTATTTAATTTATTTAGTAGTTTTCTAGACTTTTATATTCTACTATTTTTCTAATTACTAGTATAGCTATTTATACTATAGTATTACTATAATTACAATTTAAATAAGAGCTTTAATTAGCTCTTTTATAGCTTAGTTTAAATTTCCTATAATCTTAATATCTACTCTAATTTTATTTAGCTTTAGCCTTAGGTTAACTTTAGCTGCTATATATAATTTATTTATCTTATTCTAATTAAAGTTATAAAGAGCCTTTTTAATATTATCTAGGGGTTATTAAAGTATAAATTAAGATATAAATTAGATATTTACTGTAATTAGTTAGAGTCTGTAATTTAATTCTTTAATATCTAATTTCTCTTTATAGTAGGTCTATACTCCCTATAATATCTATATAAAGTTTATAGTACTATTTCTATAGCCTTTTTAACTTTTTATCTTTTTTCCTCTTAAAATTAGAAGGTTTTATCTATTAAATATAGCTAGTTTAATAACTATTTCTGCTTCTTTTAATATTCTATTATACTTATTTTATATAGAGTAATATTAGTTAATATTACCTATAATTATTAAGGGATTTCCTCTTATAGCTACTATAACTTCTTTAAATAATTTTCTTTAGCTAATTTATTCTTCTAGGCTATAAAGCTCTATTACTTAAAGGCCTGTTATTTTAAAAATTACTCCTCTTTAGTTAGCTTTTTTTATTACTGTTTAGTTTTAAATTCTATATTTTATATATATATATATTACTAAGCAGCTACTGTAATATATTATATAGTAGTTACTAGTAGCCGGGCAGGCTAGTTAGCCTATAGTAGAATTTTAATATAGTTTTTATAGAAATATTATTTGGTTTTTTTAGCTTTACTTAATATTATTAGATAGATTAAAGCTATATAGTAATCTTAAATAATAGAAATAAATAATAAGAGCTATACCTAATACTAGAAGAAATAGTAGCTAAATAATAAGGTTATTACTTATTAGTCTCTATCTAAAGCTTCTATTTAACCCCTTTAACTTTAACTCTATTATCTATAGTTAATAACCTTACTATCTGCAGTTAATAACCTTAAGATAGTAATCTTATTTTAAGCTATAAAATATAAAAGAAATATCTTCTATTATTAAAAGACTAACTTCCCTTCTAATACTTATCCTATTATAACTAATTTTTAATATAGCAAATTTTATTTAAGCTTATAGAAATATTATATTATATTACTTTTTACCTTTTAGAGTAAGAAATATTAGGGCTGCCTGCTTATTTATATTCTACTAAAAGATTTTTAATTTTATATACTAAGGGGGGGGGTTTTAAGTATAACTAGAGCTTACTTCAGCCTTAATTAGTTAGCTTATAAATATTATTAGAGTAGAGCTTTATACTCTATAGAAGGCTCTTTTAATAGTTATATCTTCTAGTATTTTATTAGCTCTTTATAATACTACTATAATAGTATTAGGGCCTATTCTAGCTACTTTAGCTACTTAGCTTATATCTAAAAAGCAGCTAGAGCCTTTTTTTAGTAGGAGAGAATTTAGAGTCTATAATCTTTTAAATTCAGCTAGCTATAAATAGGGACTTTAAGGTATTACTATAAATTCTATTTATTTTTAAATTATCTGAGTTTATATAAATAGGCTTAAATTACTTATTACTAATAGTTATTTACTATAAAATACTGCCTTAATTATATTAAGTAGTTATTTTAGTACTCTAGATATTTTATAATTTTATTAGATACTAGTAGGTATTTTTTCCCCCCTTTTAGATATACTATAATACTATAATATCTATAGTAAGCTTTCTCTCTATAGAATCTAATAATATAGCTTATTTTATAGTAGTTAAAATATTACTTCAGCTATAGTAACTTCTTAAAGAATTTACAGTTTATTATTATTAAGTTATATATTAGTTTTTTATTATATAGCTAGTTAGTAGCTAATATACTATTTACTATTAGAATTATTCTAATTCTTATTATAATATTCTTATAATTTTATACTAGAGTTATTCTAATAGCTATAATATTATTTTCCTCTTTTATTTTCTTATAAAGGGTATTATAATTAACTTTCTAACTTTTAGCTAATATACCTTTTATTATAATACTATATATTCTTTTTAATATTAATATATTATCTCTAAAGGCTTTAGAAATCTAATTATCTACTATAATATATTTAGCTACTAGGCTATAAAAAATAATAACTATATTACTACTTTAAAAATAGCAGGCTACTATTATAGCTTTTAGCTTTTTAATAGCTAGGTTAATTACTATTATAATTTTAATAGAAGTTTATATATAAATCTCTTTAAGAAAGTTATTTTACTTTACTATAATTTTATAATTATATTAAATAGAAATAGACTTTAAAAAGAAACAGTAGGTATTATATCTAGTTAATATAACTTCAACTTAGAATTACTATAGCTATATATTAAAAGCAGTTTAAGTATCTTAAATAACTTTATATATAATCTTATAAATTATTTTTTCTAATTTAAATTATATTAAAGTAATCTTAATAGTATTACTATAGTAGTATAGGATTTTTATATTAATAAGAGTATAGATAACTTTTTATATTTTATTTAGAATTTCCCTCTAAATAAGACTAGATAATTCTTTAAGTACCTTCTTTTTATCGGTATCTTTTATAGACTCTTCTTTATTTAGCGGGGCTATTATAATCTTATCTTGTTAATACTGCTTATACTGGGAGGTGCCTGTATTAGAGTAGAATTAACTGTTTTTAAGGCCAGCACGGCCCGAATCTACTGCTATCGGCTCCTCTATCTTGGCAGTACCCTACAGCTGCTGCTGCAGTATTATCGCCTGGGTAGATTTTTGTGCTGATTTCGATTCTGATATCAGATTGAATATTAGGTAAGAGACTGTAGAGATCTCGATAATCTCGGTTTTGTGTGCAAAAGTCTTTTCTTAATATATATATTAAGAACTATAAATATACTATCTAACCTCAGGATATTTTTAATACCTTTATAATTTAAATTTAAATAATAGAGCTATAACTAGAGTAACTTACTACTGCCTCTATATTTTAACAGGGAGATAATAATACAACACTTAGCTAACACTTATCGTCGAGAGCTGCTATTAACAAAGCCACTAGTATATCCCTTACAGCTGCAGGCAGCAACTAGGCGGAAGCAGCTGACTCCCTCTTAGCTGCTACTAATAGCTACCGGTTATAGCCGCTCTATTAATAGCTCTATAGCTGGGCTAAGTTAACAAATTTTACAATACTCTCGCCCGTCCAGCTAAATCTCTAAGGGCCCACTAAAGCTTTATAACTAACCAACAATAAACCTCGGCTCGGACTTGTTAATATATTATTTGCTGAAAAATGGGGCGGTATACAAGTTGGATGTGAGCGAAACTCAACTAGTGCTGCTCCTAGTAGCGCCCTCGCTGACCCACCGACCTGTACTGCTATACCCAGCTGCAGCTTTATCTCTGCTTATTGCTTATCCTCTGGGTACGTAGTAAGCTCGACCTGGAAAATAGTTGCTTAAATCATGATTTAGTGGACTAATAATCTAGATTCTGTTTCACAACCCGTTGTCTCAACTTTTTCTATTTCTCATTCTTATACCTTCTAGGGATATCGCACAATAGCAAAGCCTCTTCTCATCCAACGCCCACCATACTTCTCCACGCTACTACTCAGACAATAACAACCTGCCTATCCTCTACCGCCTGCAAGATGCTAGCGTCTCGACAATATCCTTGCTCGCATAGCCATCCAAACTATCACAAACCCTCTCCCGCTATCTGTCGTGCGGCCGGGTTGCCAAAGTACTCCTTCTCGTCCTTAAAAAAGCGTATCTGCTCCTCCTCCTTGCGCGCGAGCAAAGCTTTCCGCTCTGGGGTTTCCATAAAGGCTATCAGGCGAGGGTGAATAGCTCTCATGTAAAATGCCCGAAAGTCGAAGCCGGGTTCCTCCGGTCTCGGCTCTTCAGCCTCGTAGAATACAAAGTCCCAGTAGGCGTCGTAGGTCAGGTCTGGGCTCAACAGGGCAACCACTACGGCCGTATGGCACCACGCTTCTGACTTGGCCCATTCTTGAGAGAGTCGTGGCGGGACCTGGAGTGCTCGCTCTCGGCCTCGGACGGCGGCGACAAGACGGCCAACCTCGTTGTAGAATAGATTCGTGCCGATGAACATCCATTTTGGGTCGCCGCCGCTTAGCCAGACTGGCGGGGCTAGCATCTGTGCTGGGACGACGAAGCTCCATTCCCAGTCCAGTACGCCTACAAGGTTGAGCTCGTCATCAAACAGCGATTTTCTTCATAACAAATATCGTGTCAGGGTGTCACGATTCACTATCGGTAGAACGCTAAAACGAGCCGGATAGACTAAGAAGGTCACACAAAATATCGCAATCTTGTTTAGCCGGCATTTCCGATGGAGGCAAGTGCTTCTCGTTGACGATGCGGATGTCGCACTCGTGCGCACGGTGTAGGATAAAAGGAAGCCCCGCAAATGCCTCCGAACTCCTCCCCTGCACTTTTATCCGTGCACTGCCGCCAGCCGTGCTGCCGCACGCCCCTTCGCGCGGGCAATATCAGGTCCAAAGCGAGGCTAGGGCAGAAAGCGTAAGAAGGGCTTGTAGAATATCTGCCCATTGGCCAGACGAGATCCAGGTCTATACACTCAGTGACGAAGATCTCCCGGGCACGAGCTGGTAGTGGAGCGGACGCAGCGGCATGGGCCACCCGGTGACCCAGAGTCAGCTGTGAATGCTAGCCGGCCGCTCCAGGTCGAGCTCCTCCTCAATGCAGGTCGTGACTCGACGACCCGCGGCGGCCAAGTCACGAAGCTCTGTGCGGTACAATGCAGGCGAGGCTGGTCGTGATCGTGTCGCGACGCGTCGGCGCCATGCTACTCTCGTCCTCGACTGGCTGGGATGGAGAACGGAGAACTCTATTGACAGTTTTGTTAGCCCGAACACGTCGGCGATGGGAAAGCACGAACTCGAGTACTCGACTCTGCTGCCTTGGAGAATTGGCCTATGGGCAGGTCCCTTGAAGAGACGAGACACAAATAACGCATGATTGGTGAAGAGCGTGTGATGCCGCCCTGCCGTACCAACATGAGAACGATATTATTAGGCGAGAGGTGCCCATTCAACTGCAAGTAAGCGCCCGCAGTCCAGGGGGGTGGCCTCAGCCGATGACTGATCACGAATTTCTCAATGCACACTAATCCGCAATTCTTACGTAAATGCGACCGACAGTCGCATATCATAGTGGAGAAGGTTGCACATTCTGTATTGGGTTGGCCCCCAACCAACGCCGGTGGCGTTCCAGATTCCGCCTCGTTCTTAATGGGGAGTCAGCTTTCCAATAGGGAGGCGTTCAAACAAGCCAATGTTGCTGGTATAGTGCAAAGGTTGTGGTGGAGTGCATCCAGGACAGAGTTAGATATCACTACATGTAGGAGGTAAGAATTGCAATATTGTATCATCCTTGCTGAGAGAACAATAATTTCTACCGTATCAGGCTGGCGGGTAATAATTACAGTAATTGGGTCATTTCACTTCTTTGTTGTGTGCCGTCAGTTAGCGCTTCGCGAAGTGCAGTATTGTTTAATCCTTGCTAAGATATTTGATTTTCAACTTGATCAGGCTGGCGCTTAATGCAGTATATAATTGGTTTATTTCACGTACTGTCAGCTTGGCACAATGCAGGTCATTGGCTATATTGTTCGGTTGAGTCATAAGTCACACGCAGCTGTTTTCAGCTGGGCTGAGACTATCGATACAAGATCCTGGTATGATGCACAGTAGAACCCAACAAACAGCCGCTAATGGCGGAAGAGAGGGGATCCGATGCAGGTAACAGCAAGAAGGCAGCGAGGTCAATACAGCTGGCTTAGGATAAATACCCCCAGATGACTCCGAGTCCAAGAGAAGTCATGAATCAGTACTGTCACCTGTGGTAGCTACCTAGGACCTTCTGCAACTAGCTACATTACTGTCTGGCATCTTCACTTCTCTTTTTCTTTACCTCTTCCCCCAGAGCACGCGCGCTCCCACTTCGCCAATTTCGACCAAGTTCAACTCGACAATATGACCAGCAGTGGCATAAGGTCAGCTTCGACTTCTCCGCAAGCGGATAAGGCGTTGCGCCTCCGACGTGGCAATGCAGAAAGTCTTGGCAAAGACAACGGTCGCTATGCTGACCGCGACGCTCAACCGGAACATCGGGATCGGACTGACCCAATTCGTGCTCATAGCGGTAGTGATGCATCCCCTCCAGGAGACGATCCGTCCAACGAGCCAGATATTCGCTCAGACCCCAAGCTGGAAGCAGCTTGGCACAAGCTTGCCTCCGAATTTCCCGGTACTGCATGGTTCCAACAGAGGCATCACGAGGGTGACGGTGCAACAGCAACTCCACATGAGCAGCCTGACAATGACTGGGCTTCCACGCTTAAAGAAAAATGGAACAACCTTGTCTCTGAAATCGCAGATCGCGGTTTCCTTCAAAGAATTGTCATTGCTCTTTTACAGGCTCTTACAGTGACAATTCGCTTCACCAAGAAATGTTGGAGTACTCTGTTTTGCATCCTGATGGTGACATCTCCGATCTGGACACAGATGCTGCCATATCTGGCCATTGCTGGCTCTATCAACTGGTGTTTTTCATCGGGTTTCGGAATTTCGCCAATGTGCTGGATTCCGGGCGTCCCTTCAAACACTATTACCTCCTCAATGTTCAGATGTCCTGTTGAACCTATCGATATGCAAGGCATAATCACGACTCACGAGGAGCTCGCCACCTGTGTGGGTTACGCTGGGCGTGCCTCCCAGCTCACTACTGACACGGTGGCGCACGAGTTCGTCCTTCAAGACCTTGAAATCCGCGTTGACTTAAGCAATCTGCCGTCCAAAGGTTGTCTAAGCACGAATTTGCTTTTACTTATAGACCGGACGCCAAAAATAGCCCGGTAAGTCCATTTTCTGCGCAAGCGATTCCGTTGACTTACGATCTGTTAGTTCATTGTCAGGACTAGCAACAGGGCTTCGTAGTGCTGCCGACGATGTCAGAATCACGGACGACCTTGCTATCAGAAAACTAAAAAAGATCAACGAATGCGGTAAAATCCAATCAATCATCAATACGGTATTCGGTACGAGTTCAGATCAACAAATTAAGGACATACTCAACAGCACCACGGAGCAACTCAGTCAGCAGCTCGGCGAACTTTACAACAACACCATAGAGATTACGGAACAAGTCGGTGATGTCCAAGGTATTCTCGGCCGCATCAAGAAAGTCAGTTTGGATGACCTTGGTGGACTGGATGATCCTCGCAGTCTTTTGAGCAAACTGTGGACAGTTGTCACACAAGGACAATCGATTCAACACGAAAAGTATTTGGGAAACAAAGTCTTATTGAACGACTTACTTCAATTCTACGAAGATGCTTCTATGGTTTCCAATATAACCAAGCAAGCCCTGTTGCGGGCGGAGAGTGGAATAAGCAAATTCCGCGGCACACTTGAGAAAGCTTTCAATCAATGGGCAGATTATGATGTTCAGGCGATAATTGAGCGGTTTGAAAGTGGCCGTGACCAGTTTGAGTCAGAGACTCTCAACGTCCGACAGATTCAGTCTTAGGTTGTTATTGCTTGATATTTTTTTTATATAGCCAGACGAACTACTGATCACTGATCACGGACCCATTTTTGATTACTTCACGATCAGTGACATGACCACCACTGCCCTCAGCTATCAGTACAACTTGGTTTACCTTAGACACCTTCATCACTACACGCCAATCGTGACTAGCACATGACTAGATGTAACACCTGGATAACCGCGCAACTAAGTTGTCTTACTTACCAAAACTGCCAACATAAACCCCATCGAGATGCGCGATTAGAGATAGCCGCTACGTTCGCAAGATGAGTCGTATGCCTCCATCCCGCGGTGACCTCTGGGGAGACCTCTCTACTTAAATGTGCTCATTGCTGGTGCTAATATCGTCAAAATTTGCGACTTTGCCAGCTGTGCGCTATGGAACGCGTATGCTGAGTCCGGTATCTACACATACGAGTCGAGATATTGCTCCGCCTTATCAGAGGGTCAAGTAATCGCATTGTCCATGATCATTCATACACCCTCGGGTCGGCCGCCAACCAAATCACCTCGTGGAAACCTCCTATATGGGAGTCGGTGGTGAACCTGGGACGTTATTGAGAGCGGCACGATGTCTGCCATAGCAGATATCCATGGTGCCCGTGGCATCATCACAGGATGCTGGATGCTGCGACGTTACATGTGACTCGCCCGGGGTCGTCGCAGGTGATCAAGCTACTGTCATCGAGGGGCTGACGAAGAATGAAATTACGAACAAGATCACATAGACATGACCAAGACGTGAAGTAGGCGCCACCGTGCCCGTCAAGAACAAGAAGTCGATGTGTACCAACCGTACGGCGCCGTGTATTTGGACCGAAAACTTCCTTTAGCCAATCTAAAGCAAGGTCGTCGGAAGTCTACCTTTTTTCGCTAACGCCGATATGCCAGTCGCCGTGACTCAATCGTACCATTCTCGGATCTTCTGCGGGTCTTCGCATTTGGCACGTTGGTAATCGTATCGGCGAGAGTATTTTGCCTTGATTTCGTCGTGGCGGCTAACGAACTTCCGCACCCAGTTCTCGCCGACAGGATCTTTGCCTCGCTTAGAAAGCAATAAATTGGCCATCCGGCGAGTATAAGCCACCGTTGGCGGCATCCCTCGCTCGTCCATCGACAAGATCCATTGTACGAGGGCCGTCTCTTCAGTCGCGGCGAAGACGGTGTCCTCAAGGGGTTCACTGATGTCGCGTGTTGCCTTGCATCACAGGCGCAAATCGGGATGCTGCTTGAACACGGGTCTGACGTCCAGGATCTTCCCGATTGACGTCTCACATTATTTTGGAGTATGACTCTTCGCGCGCAGCTGCCAATGAGAATGGCTTGTGATACGTTGTAGTGGCCGCTGCTGTACAACGCTTCTAACTAATTATATATGCAGTAAACAGAAAGGGTAAGGCCATGGTTTTGAAGCAAGAGAGTCATATTTCGGCGTAACGCAACGATGACCTGGCGGACCAATGCTCATTCTTCGTCGACTGCCGCCCGTTGCCCTCCGCCCGCTACCCATCGCACGCTCTCGCCTGTTGGCCGGTAGCCGTTTCTCTTCCCGTCTTGTGCCACAGGACTGTAACCGGTGGCACCAAAAGCAACGGGTAGCAGAAGATTTGCACCCGGGGCGAGGCACTAGCTTCTCGTATTCTCAGACATTCCGCGGGAATATTTGACTCTAGCCAGATCTGAAAGGATGTCAGGGACAATACACCAAGGTTGCACATCGAGACTCATCTTCGGCCGTTTCACCAGAGCGGGGTGCATTTACTTGCATAACGCTACATGCCATGCCATTGGTCGGGTTTCGGAATGCGCTGGGTGCAAATATGACTTCAGATTGAGGCGGGAGGACGGGAGCTTCTGATTTTGCGCGTACAGTACGGATTTGAAGATGAACCAAGACGAGGATACGTCTGTCACCGAGTTTGTTCACAGTGCGCAATGAATCCCAGGGCGTTGGCCATCTCTGTTCAGTGATTCGGGCATAGGGAGATCTAGGCCAACAGTCTCAAGCTTGCTCTCCAGCGACGACTGGGAGGCACAGCAACAAAGCACCTGCACCTTCGATTGTTTCTATTTAAATCCCACAAAACAATCGGCATCATGGCCACCATGAACTGGATGCGTCGAGCCATGGCAGTTAATCCAGCTGCGGTGTGATGTGGTAAGTGTGACGGTACAAGAGCGCGAACTAGGTCGAGTGCAGCTTGAGCAAAATGATTGTTTACGAGGAGAGAAAGAGATTCCTAAGGAAAACTCTGACTTAAGCTATTTACACAATATTCATAAAGTGAGACTATTCATAAAGTATGAAAGTCACATGATCGTTCCCTCACAATTAGTAGCCACCAGCTACTACTGAATGACACCATCCTGTTCACGGCTACTAGCAGCATTCTCAATGCCGCCTCTCTTCAGCTACTAGTAACAACTCATTGTGCGAGGACTTGCTGCTAGTAGCTGAGAAGCAAAAGAGAGGCAATTGGTTTGCTACTAGTAGGGGTGGCTACTAGTAGCTGAGAGAAAGAGTCTTCTCTTCAGCTTCTAGTAGCAACTCCTTGCCCCTCTTTCTGTCCCCTTGATCCTCTCTTTAGCTACTAGTAGCAACTCCCTTAGGCCCCCACCTTAGGGGCCTCTGGCATTATTATACACCAAATAACAAATAGGATAGATTGTAGACTGGCCCTGCTAATAGCTTAAGATAGCTTGTATCTAGCTCTTGACACTCTATACGTCTAGGTATGCAGACTTTAATAAGTCTTATTAAGTAAGTACAAAATCAATTAACTTCTTGCTTTCTGTATTATTTAATCCAGTCCCATTATCCGAGCACATAAGGGAGAAGATTATTACTATCTGATATTTGCCAACTAGCACTCCGGCTGATTCAGACTATTAGGAACCAAAAGTAGAACCCTCCAGTCAGTACTGAAACCCTCTAACTGCCAGTTTTTTTTAGCTTCTTAACCGTATATTTCCTCCTCCGATTTTAGCCACTTTAGCTAGTAGGTCCAAGAAGTTAAGGGGAAAGAATTTTAAGCTTCCAGGATGATGAGGGGATACACAGCTTATGCAACTCAGTAAAGCCTCAATTAACAGCCACTGCCTTGACCTATTTGATACACTTAAAAATAGGATATTCAGCTTAAGTGAGAAGCAGGAGTTACTACTATTACAGATAGACAAGTAAGGTTAATACTACTAAGACAGACGGGCGTATACTTCTCCTGAAGGTCTTAAATAAGGTCTTAGATTCCATATATATACTCTAACCAGGTAATATCTATTGCCTTAGCACCCTAGCGATAACCGTGCAGCTATAAGATTATAATTACACCTTTAAGAAGTACTTATATAACTCTAGTATATAGTAGTATACAGTCTGTATTATATCTACAACCTGGAGTAAGTTAATTATAAATAAGATAAAGAAATACTATATATCTAAATTAAGGTAAGTTTTTTTATAATTAAGATAATAGGGATAATTACTATCTATTAGCCTGCCTAATTCTAACTCTTAATATTTATTAGTATAATATAAATACTCTTAGATAATTTAGCAAGCTTTATAATATTCTTAAGTAATCTTCTTATTTTAGTCTTTAATTATACCAGAACTAGCTGTTATATTCAGTATAGAATATTATTATATTATATATTAGTAGAGTATTTATTCTACTTTACTATAGTTATTAATATAATACTAGCTATATTTAATTTAAGAGGTATACTCTTATTATAGCTTTACTAGTTTACTTACTAATAGGTTAACTAGACTGAGATTATTAAATATATCAGCTTGCTAGTATATTAGTTTATAGATTTACTATAATATAAAAAGCTGCTATAGGTATAGTTTAAGTTATAACTTAATAAGTAATTTAACTCTAATAGTTATATTAATTTCTATAGCTTATATTCTATTTATAAACTGGTAGTAATATAATATTTGCTAATTTCTATATTATTTAATTAAGCTTTAATAACTCTTTTTCTTATAAAGTTACCTATATTCTTTTATAATACTAATCTTATAGCAGTTAATAAGCTTTTAACTATAGCTCTATAGGTAAAAATTAAGTAATAACTTTATATATTAACTTTAACTAAAAAGGTATTCTAACTGTAATATAGAATTTTCATATAAAATAGAAACTTAAACTTAACTATAATAATAATAAATACTAATCTATAGTAAGTTAAATATAAATTAGAAAAAGAAATATATACTAATTAAGGTATATACTTTCTTATAAAAAATAAAAAGTAATTTCTATTTATTAGCCTATAAAATATCCAGCTCTTATATATTTATAAAAATTATATAGCTACTTTTAAATACTTTAATAAGCTTTATAAGCCTCTATAATTCTATTTATAAAGAATATAACTTAGTATAGAATTTAAGTAGATATTTAGATATAGCTACTATTAATTAGATATATAATAGGCTAATACTAATCTATAGTAAAGCTAACTAATATAAAGTAAGATATAACTAGTATACTTCTAAATTACTATTTTATATTTTATAAAATATAGCTTTTTTATTTTATTATATATTATAAATAATAATAAAAATAAATAAGATAAGTTAATAATATATTAAATATAGCTAAAGATAATTTAACGCCTTAATATTTTTTATATTTAATTAAAGTTAATTTATAAAAGTAGAAAACTTATACTTAAATTATATACTATACCAGCTTAGTAAAGAATATATTATATACTATTTATTTAATATTAATACTCTTAAATTTATATATAATAAAATCAGCTAGATTTATATTAAATATTTATAATACTTTTATTTAGTAAGCTAAATCTCTTTATTATATAAGAACTTTTTATATTTTTAACTAATTAATAATAAATCTCAGCTTAGACTTATAAATATATTATTTACTAAAAATAAAGTAGTATATAACTAGTTATAAGAAATATAAGTAAAATTCAACTAATATTCTATTATTCTACTAAAATACTTAATATCTACTTTATAGCAAAATTAGCTTATACTATAAAAGAAACTATAAATCTAACTAGTTAAGTTTCTTATTAATCTAGCTAGATATTCTAGTTTCTTATTACTATAAATATTATTAATTAGTATAATAGTATAGCTTTCTTATACTATATTATCTATATATCTATTTACTAATAGAGGAATTAAGCTGCTTATTTATTTTTCTTTTTATAAATATTATATTATAAAGTTATATTTAAAAGCTAATTTAAGTTAATAGTAGAATATTAGAAATTAGAAATAGCAGTATTATAATACAGCTAGTATAGAAAAATACTAAAATAAATAATATTATCTTTCTTTTTTCAGCTAGATATAAAGGTATTATTTTTAGCTTAATAGTATATTACTATAAATATTATTTAAAGCTACAGCTTAATTTTAGATATTATATAATATAAGTTTTAATAGTAAAACTAGTAATTAGCAGGATATATATAATTTGCTGCTGCTATTATTTAAATATAAAGTAAATCTAAGACTTTTTCAAAATCCTCTAGCTATTATACTATTTAAAAAGAAATATAGAATTAAAAGCTAGAAGAGTTATATAATCTATAATAGTAGTAGTACAGATATCCTCTATATCAGCAGTAGATTAAGCAAGTTTCTATTAGCCATTCTATCCTCCTCTAATACTCCCAAGAACCCATCTGCCACCCCATGCTTCTTCCATCTAGAACCATCCTCCTCCAAATACTCTTCCTCCTACCATCTACTCCTACAGCACCGCCTCCATCTCAAGACTCGAACAGCGCTCCTCGAGTAGCATCTTCGCCTTCGCTGCGGCCGCCTTGGACAGGACCCAGAGCGCCTCGCCAACATCTCCGAGCCTTTAATCCGTCCCCAGCAGTCGAACGACGCTGTCGCTAGACTCTCCCTGCTCCCAAGCTCGAACCCCAGCTCGGAGCCGACTAACACTAACAAAAATAACCAGCTTAAGAGTCCCTCGAACCAGTCGTTGTCCAGTGCATCCTGGACAGCAATCCCTCTTACCAGGCCGCTTCGGCGAACTACCCGCCATCTCAGCCCTCCTCAGCCACAGACCCCGAGTGCCCGTCTCCATTTAAGGTTCCTGGCTCGGAGAAGTTCCGGATTAGCATCGGCCGAATCTCGGATTGCCCCGATCGTATTTGGCAATTAGGCTGTTGCCGGCTAGCGCTCCAGGTGCCGCCTGCCATCCAGCCGCGTCTTGAATGCAAACATCGGATACGCGTATTAAAGAACACATCCTGTTTCAAAGCAAGGTGCCATGTCTACTGTACATCTATCTCATTCTGACCGGGGTGGTATAAAATGCTCGCAGTTGCAACACTCAAGCTCAGGAGACGAGACCTTGCAAGAGAACAGGGTGAGCTGTGGGCAGTTCGATGTTGCACTGAATGTAATAGCACCTGGACCCACAGTAAGTATAAGTTAATGATGTCCCGAGATATCGAGCGGTTACAGCGCGAAATTGCGGCACGAGGGATCCTTGCACCGATATGGCTTAAGATGAGAATCGACAAACTCCGAGGAAGGCCACTGGGAAGGCAAGTTGGTTGTGGCAGCCGGTTGCTTGACCTCCGTGCCGTACAGTAAGACGGGTGGAGAGTAGCAGCCAGAAGCGACGGTTGATTTGGTGGGAGTGTCGGACCAATCGAATTTGGCTATCGGGAGAACATCACCGGCACACTCTATTTTCATTTGTTAGCCACAGCAGGGTGATTCGGCGGAATCAAACTAGCCACATGACTCTTGAAGTCTACGGGGCGGAAAAATAATCAGGTGGAATCAAGAACGATGAAAATATTTTTTGGTGACTGGACAGCGCACGATCTTTCCAAGAGTCCAGCAATTCAGCCATTCAGCTGTTTGAGTGCAGGAAGCAGGTAGTGGGAAGTCCCTCGAGGGCTCTTCGCCTCATACACGGTGCAGATCGAACGGTTAGGCAGAAGTCCTGGTGGCTTGACCGCCACTGCATTACGTTCTCACCACATGAGCCCCCACATTCCATTCCGTGGCTATACGCTATCATTGGTCGGATGGAAAACCGAATGGCCAATTGCTGCCGTAGCCGCGCGATGGTGTTATGTCCATTAGGCATTTACCTCAGCGCCATCGCTATGGCCTCCGTTTCTGTCGTGTATGGGTCCTGCTCTCTTGAACCGATGGTGACAGAGTATCTGGTAATGATATCATCTATTCTGTTGACATAGAGCTTGGGGGATAATCCAATGCTAACTGGCTCGCGCAGAATACCGATGTAATTCTGATGCATGGCTGTGCGGCTTAGTAACTATATGGCTGTGCAGACTTTATCCCTAATTGTCGGCGACGCAGCTTTCTTCTTTCCTATCAAAAACACAATTATAGAGGGAGGTCGCTACTCGCTATGGCAGATCAAGACCAGTCACATATCATCGCGGACAATCCTATTAGGGACAGCCTCGATGCCTTTAGCACTACATTCAGCTCTATATATAAAGAGAGAAGCATCTCTTCCTCACCAGATATACTTGGCTAACTTAGCTAAGAAGATATAACTGCCAGCCTTATTGGTTACTTCTCTGACTAGTATATAGAATTGCAGAATCTTATATTCAGTCTCTTGTTAATACTTCAGGTCCTTCCTATTATACGCCTCCTCCGTTCTAATAGTGGTAGCAGAAACCTCCTCAGTGATATTCTGAAACTTACTTCCGCCCTGAACTCTGATAACTTTAACCTCGACTGCATTAAACCTCTTCTAAAGGCCGCTGTTACCGGTAATCCAGATGATTCTTATATCTGGAATTAAGTTTACAACGCCGTTACTGAATCCACCCCACCTCCCCGACCGATACCCTTATTGATCTAATAAATGCCGTGGAGTTAAAATACAAGTGGCTTTGTAAACTCGTTGGAATTCCGCCAGGATATAGATCCAGTCCTTAAGTTAGAGCTCGAGCGTTTCTATGTCGGGCTTTCTAATTTCTATAAAACCTTCTTTAGAGATATGCTAGATCTCGATATAGTATCTAAGGCAGTCTTCGGTAGGTATACTGAAGGTAATAATCTACTTTTTAAGGAGGGGTAGAGTAGATAGCTAGCAGGCGCTAAAGAGAGTGATATACTAGCTTAGTTTAGCGGCTTAATCTCAAAGCTGGAAGCTTTTATAAGTAACTATATTTTAACTTTAGCGGCTCGACAAAAGCTATTGGCGCTGCTAAGGATATTACTAGAGGGCTCTATAGGTAAGTATAGTATAGATATTAGCTTTATTAATAGTAATATTATATATAACTCTAACTTTAAGAATTTAAGATATTATTAATTATATATTCTTATTGCTAGCAAATTAAAAAGTAACTTAAAGGCTAATAAAATATTAATAGTATAAATTAATTTTATAATATATATAAAAGAGGTTCTTACTACTTAATATACTTATTATTTTATTCTAGGCTTTACTTTTTATAGATTTTATATAAAAATATAAAAGTTTAATTAGCTTAGGGAAATTACCTTTAAATAATTTAATATTAACTATAAAAATAAAGAGTTATAATTTATAATTATAATTTTTAAATTTCTATAAATAAATAAGAAGAGGCTTAAGTTTAACTTTACTATTATTATATTTAGTAGTAAGTAGTATATTAAGATTAAATAAAATAGTAAAATAAAATATTTTATTATTAATAAAGTTATAATATAAGTATATTATATTACTAGTTGGGTAATAATCTATTAAAAAGTCTATTATAATAAAAACCTATAGATACTACTTATTATTAAGAATTTATAGTAGTATATAAATTAGAATAAAAAGAGTAAACTTCTCTAAGAGATAATTAAGAAAGATATAGTTAATATTGCCTAATACTACTATTATAAAACTATTAATATATATAGTATTAATAATAATATTTATATAAATATTTAAAAAAAACTAGATATTATAAAAGCTATAAATTATTATTTAAAATACTTAATATTACTATTAAGTGTAAATATATTTAGTATTTTATATAAAGAGTAAAGTAATAATATTAATATAAAGTAGCTATTTAGTAAAATTAATACTACTCTACTACTAAATAAGTAATCCTATTTAATATTCTAAATAAAAATAAATATTAAAGTACTAGCAAATTAAATATATTAGTAGGTTATTTTTTATAATTATAAAAAGCCTATATATAAAGTAAGATCTTAAGTAGCTTTACTTATTATATTTAAGAGCTATATTAAAGAATACTAGTCTTTATATACTACTAGCTATCTCTATAGAGATATCTTTATTAACAACCTCCTAATTAATAAAAACAATAAGAACCCTTTCTAAATAGCTTTCTTAATCAACCTTAATCTTACTATCAGAGAGCAACAAGAAGGCATATCTAAAGCAAAGGGGAAGACTGGTATAAGGATATTCATAGCTATCAGAGCACTACTAGGCATCGAGTAGCACTCCTTTATATACAACCTCGAGTCATTCTTCTAGGTTCTATTATAGGTATATATTTACTATAACAGGCCAGGTCAAGACATTAAAGCTACTGAGTTCGAGAGCTGGAATTACGAGAAAGATAACAAGCTGGTTGGGTCTAAAAAGGGCGTGATTGATGATGAAGATAACTTTCTTAGAATTGCAGAGGAAAATTTTACACCATACTACTAGCTGTTAATTCCATAGATTAATAGACTGAGGAGGCAGGTATTCCCGAATGGTAAGAGGTGGAAGAAGCCGGAGCCGGGACTGTATTAATCGATGAAGGACATTCTTCGGGAAGCTCAGAAGGACATAAAGGTAGCAAGCATATAACATAGTGTCACTACTGGAACTGGGGCATGGTGATAGCAAGCGTTATGTGACTTCCGTATCATCCTATTCCCTCTTCTACAACTGGCAAAGCAACGGACCGATTCTGGACTCCCTGTCTGGGATTTGCTTGGGTCTTTCCTGCCCCAACTCAGCTTGAATTCGTCAGGTTCGATCAGGATTCCGGCGGGGTCATTTGGGCGAGGGCTAATATATGCGGGAGAAAGAATAACTGTCAGAATCCGGACGCTGGGCCGCTTTGTCTTGTCGAAAGCAAGGACCTAATTCTCAAACTACTTGACCGATACAAGGACGCGATAATGACGATTGTGATTGACGCCCTAGACGAATGCAACGAGGCCCTAAGAGGGCTGAGCATTGTGGTGAAAAGATTCGGTGTGAGCATCCCAAATGTCAAGACCTCAAACAAGAGCCATTTACCATTACACCACCGATCGCATGCAGTCCGATCATGTGCAAGATGCCGGCCCCCGGAAACGCAAAGACCCCCCTCCACATACCCACGCCCGCTCGATATCCGACCGCCAGATCACGATGCTCCCCGAGAGCCTGAGGACGAAAGTACCTCTAATAGGGGCGGTCTGGGGATAGTCGCGCGACAGGTGTTGTAGCTCACCTCAGGCATCAACCACGGGCTCCAGCAGCACGGGCCACCTGGGAGGAGCCAAATCCGTAAACTCCCCTTAGTCGGGAGGAGAGACGAAGTCTTTATCGGCGACGCGAAAAGCACGCGTCGAGAACACGTTATCAGCGTGACGCGACAGAGAAGCCAATCAAGTGCAGCGATGCGCCACATCAATAAAGTGATTACGTTTAAGCCTCAGGCCAAGACCTGCGTCGATGCCTGGCTCGCCCTGAAGGGTAGGCCGGGTGAGCCAGCTCCGGCAGAGCTCACCCGGCTCCGCTGGGTCGCGCGATTGGCTCGACGACAAGAGCAAAATACACATCTTCACGGTAATCCCGCTGACAATGGTTGTCGGCCCTGCAACGCAATTCGAAAGTGTGTCGTCTGGTCTTGACATGTTTTGAATGTCGACTCAATCCGTTTTCCATCCACCAAGCATCTACCGCGATATCCGATGGTGCAGCCGAGGAGTATAGAGGAACACCTGACGTGGCTGAGGCGCTTAACTGTTGGCTGACAGATGCTGGTCTTCTGGACTGCGCCAAAGGCTGCATCTATATAAATTGAACACCTCGTCGCTCCCCAGTATTCTCGTGCCATGGCTCGCACTCGAGCACAGTTGGCCGCCCAGAAGGGGCGCACATCGTCGGCGCCAAAAGATCAAGGTACTTGTTTCATGAAGCGCCGAGCGATATCCTCACTGACAATAAACAGGAAAGCGACCCCAAGGAATCCAGAAGCACAGAAGCACACGTCGCACGACCCGTCTCCAATAGCAACTGGCTCTCGAGCCCACTAAATACGATCAACCGCATCTATCTCTAACCAAGAAGACTCTATCTCGACAGGTACGGCATTCCTATCTTTACCACTGCGCAGGCACCGAAACTAAGTTATCTAAGGGTTCCGCGACACCTGGCAAGCATAATACGAAACGACCCGTCGACGCACTTAATTGCAACCTTAACTCCCCTCAGAAGAGGCCTCGGCAATCTCCGAGATTATCTCTTGTAGAGAATACATCCAACAGACCCGCGACAAATAACAGTGGTATATATAAGCCGATTGACTCTATTAATTTTTGGGTAAGAGAAGGGCAGTAGCTATAAGAATACTTTAAACTTAATATAGAGTATTTACTTGCCTGAAAGAGGTCCCTGTTATCTATTATCTATAAGCAATTAAATTCTGCTATATCTACGATATCTAGTAATTAGAAGCCAAGGGATAAGAAGAGTATACCCTACTAAGATCTATACTATAAGACCCTACTTAGAACTAAAGGCAGTTTTATAGTTAAGTCTAACCTAGATATTACTAGTATAAATAAAGATCTTACTAGGATTTTATTTAAGGCAACCTAAGCGGTTCCTAGGGATTTACTATTCCGCAATAATATTTTCAAATCTACCTGCTAAAAGATCTATAATAGAAATAAGGCCTGAGTTATTTAAGATATCACTCAGCTTATTGTTCCCTTAGCTGAGAGTCTTACTATATTTAGCACTAAGTATCTTAATATCTTAATAGAGAGTATTAATAAGAGCTGGAATAACTTAATCCCGTTAACTGAGACTCATTCCCAATCTGATTACTCTATAGGCTTTAGATATAAGGTATTTACTAATAACTAGCTCGCTAAGCTGTTATTATATCTTGGTGATTTTATTGCTAGAGACTAATTCTTTTTTATAGGCATATACTATATATACTTTCTGTTCCTAATATACAAGGCGAAGTGCAGCGCTGCAGCGCTGAATGTAGCGGACCGCCAGAATGCCTATAGTATAACCTTTACAGTACGGGCTGTCGCCGAGCTTTTTTATACTGTAAAATATAAGAATAAAGTTTACTAGCAGATTCTTATATTCTCTATCTTATATAACTATAGATCAGTATAGATCTACAATTACTATCCAGTAGTAGATAGCAAGAGCACTAAGTATTACTGCTATCCGATCTATATATATAACTTTACAGCACTAGACGGCAAGGAGAAGTAAACAGCATATCGTTTATAAGAAT